AGGCTACACAACATCAACAGTCTTTCTAGACGTTAAAGGAGCATTTGACCACGTATCGCACAACCAGTTCCTAAATACGCTGAAAAGACTACGCCTACCAACCAGCCTAATTACTTCGGCTAAGACCTTTCTATCTAATAGATCTTTAAGGCTCGCCTTTGACGGCCAAATAGAAGAGTTTAGCGAGATTAACGCGGGTATCCCACAAGGCAGCCCAGTCTCTCCAATCTTCTTTCTCATCTACATTAGAGATCTGTTCCCTCAAATAGATGGATTCCAGCTATCCTACATCGACGATATCTCTATTACAACCTCCTCAACGTCTATTAAGAAAAACGTTAAGATACTTCAACGGGAGGTTAAGAAGCTAGTTTCGAAAGGAAAAGAACTGGCTATCGAGTTCGATATAGCGAAGACAGAGCTAATCCATTTTACAAAATACAAAAAAAGAAAAGAAATACCTCTAGAGCTCCCTAGCAAGGAGAAAATCTACCACAAAGATACTATTAAGTGGCTAGGGGTACACCTCGACAACAAGCTATCCTTTCGAGGACACGTAGCTATCCGAGCCAGCCAAGCAAAAACAGCTTTTAATAGACTAGGGAGACTAGCTAATATAGACCGCGGGCTATCTCCATTTGCGATTAGACAACTATATCTAGCATGCGCTACTAGCATTGCAGACTATGGGTCGCCAATCTATTGGCGCAACCAGGGCTTTATTAAAGATCAGCTTCAACCACTGCACAACGCGGCTTGTAGAAAGGCACTAGGAGTGTTTAAAACAGCTCCAGCTATCCCAATAAGCATTGAAGCCAGCTTGCCGTCACCAGCTGTACGGCTAAGCCAAACGAATCGAAAATACGCTCTGCGGGCTATACAACTAGGTAACACCCATCCAATTACAAAAGCTATTGTAAGGCTACAAAAAACAACCCTTCAGCTATCAAAAAAGCCAAACAAAACAAGACAACTTCGGGCTATTACGAGCTCCATCCCAGCTACCCAAGAGATAGAAGAAATCATCCCATATCGGTTCAGACCATGGGATTCTCTTAACTACAATATCTCTATATCAAAGAAATCTAAAGAAGAAGAGGCAGCCGCGCACAAGGAGTATATCTAAATAATAGAGAATAACTCTATAGTAATCTACTCAGACGCCTCCAAAACGAAAGACGGAGATGGGATAGGAGTAGGCCTAGCTGTCTATAACCCAAACCAAGAAGAAATCTACGCAGAGACAAACATCCACACACCAACTTCGAGTTTTTCAGAATAGGTGTAATTTTAGCGAATTATATACAAATCCATCCCAAGAAATCGATTACAACTAGTGCCAACTCGTGCAGCCCACGCGCTATAGAGCTAGAAGCTGGTAAAGTAGCTAATCTGAACACGTCTCACAACTAGCCCAAACCCATCCAATTACAAAAGCTATTATAAGACTACAAAAAACAAACCTTCAGCAATCAAAACAGCCAAAGAAACCTAGACAACTACAGGCCATCACGAGCTCCATCCCATCTACTACAGAGATAGAAGAAATCGTCCCATATCGGTTCAGACCATGGGACTCTCTCAACTACAATATCTATATATCAAAGAAATCCAAAGTAGAAGAGGCAGCCGCGCATAAAGATTATATACCAAATAATAGAGGATAACTCTAATAGTAATCTACTCAGACG